GGGAGATGTTTTATTGAATTCCCTTGGTGTTGTTATAACTGTGTTAGTTGAATATTAAACTTTTAAATAAAAAGAGTATGCACTTTTAAAAATTTTCATAAAATCTCTAAAACATCTATGGATTATTTTTTAAAAGTTGGGTTGTGGGTGAATCATTCAAAGCGTGAGACAAAATAATGACTACCTTTGCAGAGGCTTACTTAGAACATGTACATTGGAAATGGTGTGTCCCCTTTGCATGAAAGGATTCTTATACACATGCCCCTGCAGAGGACCTTTATTCTTGCAGAATATTGAGCTGACCCTATTTTCTTGCCCCTCAGGAGCCTCATATTTAGTTCCCTGGCTCCTCTACGCTATTCCATGTGCTTCTCTCTTCTGCTCCACTTCACAGCTGTGCGATGATACCACACACTTTCCGGTAGCAGACGCTGCTAGAAGCAGGTGCCAAAGCAGCAGAGGCTGTGAGAAACGGAGAGAATGCCTCAGTGGGTGGGGCTCTGCCTCGCAGGCCCCCCTGTTCCTCTTTCCCAGTCCTGGGGACAGGACAGGCCTAGGTGATCACACAAGTATTGTCATTTTCTCATCTATAAAATGGCTTTTTGAGAATTCATTGAGGTAATACATATTAAAGGCCGAACTATAGTCAACTCTCAATATATGGTTATTTTTACTACACTGCCACCTTCTGAGTTAGCATTGCAGGCAAAATTGATCAGTAAGGATGCTGGGGCAATTTTCTATTTATTTCAAGAAAACCATGTTCTTTAGGATAGGCAGAAATGTACTTCTGTAACCCATGTGAAGATCTGTTTAAATGGGCCCCAGAGAGAAGAAAATAAAGGAACGGTGTCTGTGAGATATATTAGGACACTTCCCTCATTTACTCATTCACTCAACAGGTATTTATTGAGCATTGATTCCATGCTGAATGACCTTATAGGTCTCCAAGATACAGCACTGATAAAGCAAATTTCCTGACCCACTGAAGCTGAGACTAACAGGAGAAACAAACACTAACAAACACACACACACACACACACTCACATATAATATGTCAGGGGTGATAAGAGTTGTGGAGAAAAGGAACTTGGATAAGAATGACAAAGAGAGAGGTGTGTGGGGGTAGGGGCATGATCACATATCTTGGATGGTGATCAGAGAAAGCCTCTCTGATGAGGTGACATTTACATTTGTGTAAAGCCATGTCTGGAGACCTCAGAAATTGTTCTTCAGTAAAACAAGAACATCTGATGCATTGGAATTCTTACTATATATAACTCTAAGAGTAAGTCATTTTTAACACACCCCTCCTCTATATGGAAGAAATGACTTTCCATGATAATTATGAAATGGAACAAATATACTTCATGAACAAACTAAAATGTGCACACACCAAACAGAATCATATACTTGGAGGTATCCAAAAGTTAAGCACAAACCAAAACCATAAATGGTCATAGAGAATAGCAGAATTAATATAACTCAAAGTCTATCTATTTTTATAATCACTGTGCTCCACTGTTTGTTCCAAATCTATTGTTTAAATGCAAGAATACATGGTACCACAGAGCTGGAGCTATAAGCAGCGCCAGAGCAAGAGAAGGATCTGAGACCATTTGTCCTCCTTGTTCAGTAGATAACAGAGGCTGTGTGCCAGTCTGTATTATTGGGACTTCTCCGAATTAACTTCCATGTAGGCTACAGCATTTATTCAATAATAGTAATAATAATATGCTTTGCCGCTTGCTTGTATTATTAAAAGTTAACAGTAACAGAAATGCATATTTTGGGGAGGAAAAATATTTTATTACTGACATTGTTTAGATACTCCCGTGTTTGGAGATAAGAAGCAGAACAACTCTTAGCTGGTTTCATGATAGTTTTAAATCCTCCATGTGCCTGTTTATTGTCTGCCCCCACAAAATGCCATTTCTACTGTCTCACCCTAGATATGCCACTTGAGTGGGGGAGCCCTTTCTCTTCATTTCAGATCTAATATGCTCCCGCTTCCAAATACATTTCGCTCTCTTTCATAGACCATTTAGACTCTGGATAAAGCAGCCATATATCTGGATAAAGATATTCTGGAAGCAAAGTGATTTGACACAGTTTCTGAGTCTAAACAGAAAAACTTATTTGACTCATAAGACTGAAAAACTCAAGAACCATATGATTTCACTCATATGTGGGCTGTAAAACTGAAAGCAACAAATGAACAAGCAAGACAAAAACCAAACAAACAAAACATCATAGTCACAGACAATAGAATGGTGGTTACTGGAAGAAAAAGGGGTTGGAGCATAGTAGAGGGTAAGGGTAGTCAAATATACGGTGATGGGAGAAGTTTGACTTTGGGTGGTAAACACAACATGCAAAATACAGATGATATATCATAGAAATGGACCCTTAAAACTACATAAGTTTATTAACTGATGCCATCACAATAAACAATACAATTTTTTTTAAAGAAATGGAAACCACTTAGATTTCCTGTTTATTAGAAAGAGGCTTGCTTCACTTTTAAGAACATGTAACAGATATTTGCAGAATATCTATCATGTCTAAGATGGGAAGCTAGGCAGCGAACAGAGGCATACCAAGTTATGAGACATGGCCTTGGACCATAAGACATTTAGTCTTGGATAGAGCTTATAAAAGGCAAAATAGGAAAAAAAAATAGAGCAAATAAATTCAAGAGGAAAAAAATTTATTTAAACGGGGAGATTACTTTAATCAGAGGTGGTCAAGGAAAACATTTGCATTAGTACTTTACCTGTGTTTGGAAAGGAGGCAATAGCACCAGATAAATAAAAGAGGAGGGAGAAAGCCTTAAGTGGATACTACATTGGGGTATAAAATATGTACAGTACGTTCAAAGTCCATCAGTAGTGTGGATGATGTCCTGCACGAGCACTGAGGTGCTCCATGAGATACATTAGAAGAAGGAGGAGGCCATCGTGGGCCTTGAATGCCATCAAGGAATGTGACAATCAATAGCTGAGAGTCACCCAACACTTTAAGCAAGTAAATAACCAACTCCTAGTGGTATTTTAGGAAAATAAATCTGTTTGTAATATGAAGCAGGCACTGAGGTAGAGGGAGAAGATAAAGAACAAGCACATCTGAGAACAGGCATAAAATGATAGTTACCTGAACTGAGGAAATTCTCCTTCAAATATAATGGGAATGGATGGCCTTAGGTCAAACACTATCAAATTAAAACTCTGAGTTTGAATTTCTTTATTCAATTTGGGGAATATGAAGATGAGGTCCTGGGGAAAACTGTCACATGACTAGCATCTAGGAAAACTCTCTTAATTTGTTGATGTGGTATTCTGAACTAAAGATGAAATGTTCTGAACTAAAGTTTCCAAAGAAAGAGTACAAAAAAGTCAGGGAGGAGTTGAACATTCTCTTTGAATATTAGAGCTCAAATGTTAGTCTCTTCACAAAAGCCAGTGGAAGCTTTTTTTGTTCTCAAAAACAAGCAAACAAGTGAAAGAATCACTTGTGTGAGGTTCCAAGAAAATTTTGTCCTGTGGTTGGTCTTACCAGGTGCAGCCTGGCCTTGAGTTAGATGATACAACATGAAACCCTTGGACACACTCGGAAATTTAAGATCCATCTTCTATTTCTAATTGTTTTCTTGAAAACATAAGAAGCTTCAAGGGGGGGAAATGTGTTTAAATCCCCTGAATAAGCTATATTTCAGGGCTGTGCTTACATAGTGATTTCTCCTGTGCTAATTAACTCACCTCTCTTCTTCAAACAAAACTCCCTACAAAAAACTTCAGTTCTTCAAAACACAAAAATGCCTCTTCTTATTTTTGACTTGTCTTAAGGGAGAAAATGTAAGTTTAAGGTAGCAGACATTCAGTATATTTATCTTCATTATGGATAATGTATTCACTATAAGACATAGTCCATATTATAAATTTGGCGTTGCAATTGCTTGTTCAAGTCACTCAAATTAAAAAATAATATAATTTAAATATTTTTTGCATCAAAGTCCTTATGATATAGATATATATATATATTTATATATATTATTTTTTTCAGGAGATATGTGCATTTTTATGAGGGCATCTCTTGAAAGTCTAATGAGAAGACCCCATGTACCAGGAGGTAGGGACAGGATCGTGGTCTTCTGGAGAGGGGAAAGGAGAAATTGGATTGGCTGTGCACTCTCCTTTTCTGACTCAGTTTACCAAAATTCTTATACTTCAAAATAGAGGGAGATGATACATTTTGAGAGCCACAGGTGAAGTCATTCTCCTCAAATTCAAATTTTGGTTTCATTTTCTTAAACTAGAAATCTCAATTTTCACTGACACTTAACCCCCTTTTAATTTCCTGGGAAAACTGGGAATGGAGAGGGGAGAAGGCACAGCACCCTTGAACACTGTCTCTACATGGTGGCAGAGAGGAAGGGGTTTTGCCCTCTGAAATAAACATAATTTGCTGCCTGAATCAGTATATTTCAGGATGATTTGCTCACTGGTTAGAAAAACACACCTTTCTAAACATCATGAATAACGGATGGAGATTTCTAAAACTGCCTGTCCTTTCGCTCTACAATTTAAATCACTCTCTTTCCAATCCAACATACTACATCTTGATTGAAGACTGGAAAGGTTATAAACAGTAAAGAGTAAAACTTTTCCACAAAGGTAGATAGATGAAAAAATAATCCTCCTCCTGTCCATGGGCAAGAGGTCCCCAACAGCTCATTGTCACCGCCGCCCTCCTTCATCACAGAGTTGTCTTGAAAGAACACAAGGACCAAAAATAGTCCACAGCCATGGCCTTAGCTCCACTGTGCCTGCCACCAAGCTGAACCCCGTGCCTTTGTTTCCTGCCTCCCCCAAACCAAGCACAAGATGCCATTTTCTCTAAGACTAACTTGGCACGGGGAAGCTGTATGTAGCTTGAGTTCTTAATACAGTCTGTCTCGGAGGCCGGGCATTGTGTAAATGCTGCCTACTCTGTGTACTTACATCTGTAAACTGTTTGCTGAGTATCAGTTTCCAAGCTGGAGAATTTTTCATCTTGCTTCAAATTCCTCCAAGTTTCATTTGAAACCCCTGCCAATGAAAGCAGTTAAAGTATGTGTCAGAAATGTGAGACCTTCATAGAAAATGCCACAAGAACGTGAAAGGACACTTCAGGCAGGGGCAGAGGGAAGGGGTGCTTCAGGCAGAGAAGGCTTAATAATAACTGTTTGATCATTTCCAAACGACTCTCTAAAAACTATGTCATCTGACCTTCAGAACAGCCACCCAAACCTCTCCCATTAGGTGCAACAAATTTTTTGAGCACCTAATATGTACCAGCTGCTGGTATCCCCACAACAGTCAAGGTCTTTATTCCCATAGAACTCAGGGTTGAAAGGGGGAGACAGATAATAAACACAAACAAACAAATCATCAAGGTAACTTACGCAGTGAGAGGAGCCACGAAGAAAACCCATCAGGGTAATAGGTTAGAGAGTGACCAAGGGCGGGAAGGCTGCTCTGAGTGGTGACATTGGAGCTGAGAGCTAAACGTGAGTAGAACACCATGGGGTGATCTGTGGGGGGGGCATGCCAAGCAGAAGGAAGTGTGCGTTCAGCAGCTCAGAAGCAGGAATATGCTTGGCATGTTCTACAGACAGTAAGAAGACCAGCATGACTGACTGCAGCTGCGGGACAGAAGGGTGGGGGACTCCTTACTTGTGCGTGCGTGACCATGCCTAAAGGAAGGAGATGGAGGAGAAGGAGGAAATGAGGCTCGTATTTGTTGAATGTTTACGATGAGCCAGGTCTTGAGCCAAGTTCACAGTCATAGGTGGCAGGGCCGGGCCTCCGTCCAGGTTTTCTGACTCTAAATCCTTTAGTTTTATACTATACCATGCTGCCTGGCCCAACCCTGCCATCTGGAAGAACAGCTTTGGTTCACCCAGGTGGAAACAGAGGAAAGAGAAGCAACATTGATATTCAGAATCCCACATAGGATCTTTTTTACCTGCTGGCCTATCTCGTGAGTGATTTTATATGAAGGGCATATGTTGACCTGATTTTTAAAAATTGGAATTTCTCTCACACTAAGAAATATTGTTCCTACTTCCTGTCCTTGGTGGCCTCTCAGCTGGAGAATCAGCTGATGGATTCTACACTCTGGGATAAACTGAAGCACAGCAGATAGAGTACAATTATCAGATGTAACTGAAAAGGTGACTGAAAAAGGAAAAATAAAACATATTTAATGCCTCCAGGAAATGAATCCAAATAGACCTTGATCTTCATTACAAGGAGATTGCAATGTAAGTTCTTTCCCCCACCCGCCTTTAAGCAAGTTTGAATGCTCTCTCTGTCACTGTTTTCACATGAACCCAAATTGCTTTAGAAACCTGTCATATTAAATTAGCCAAAGCAGATAGTAATTCAGAGGGGTGCCAATGTGGCATTATTGAAAATTGCTGGTTGGAAGGCTTCCTTGCAGTATTATTCAGGAACAATAACTCACTTTCATCACCATGTGTCAGTATGAGCACATGATGAGCTTTGTGTGGTTTTTAAATTAAACTTCCTTAAAAGTCCATCATAAAGATAAAAAGTGCACAGAGAGCACCTGCATTTATCAATAAGAGAACAGGCAAACAAGAGCACACCTATGCGCTAGTCCCACTCTGTAGTGTCACTTGGTGTGAAATACATTGGAAACACTGACCCCATGGAAGCCTAGCAGATGTGTCCAGTTTCAGAAGATCCTAGACCTTGACATCAAGGACAAGCTCAAAGGCCATGGGAATTAGGACTACACAGCAGAGATGTTTAAAATAAAATAACTCTTCCTTGTGATATCAACGATCGATCATCTCCTCAGAGAGGCCTTCCATGACTACCTGCTTCATCACTCCCTGTCACGTTAACCTCATACTTTTTTTTTTTTACAAGACTTAGCAATTTTTTTATATCACCTGATTCATTTCATTTCTTGCTTGGCTACTTCTATCCCTCCCATTCCAGAAGGTAATCTCCATAAGAAGCAGGATCTTAACTGTCTTCATTTGCCCCAAGGAACAGCACTGGGGCCACAGTCAACAACAAATAAATATTTATTGAAGGACATTTGAATTCACAAAATATCTTTGTATACCAGAGCAGAGGCTATTCTGTCACAGTACTGATATATCAGCTGTAGGCTATAAGCCAGGCAGTCACCATGAACCGTCTGTCTTGGGTTCTGCTGACCAGAGACTGGCTTTGTGTCTACTGGTTACTTGGCGGAGGGAACATTAGTGGTGGAAAGGCTGCGGAGCTATTGTGGGTCTCGGCACGAATGTAAGTATGTTCCTCAGCAGGTCGAGAAAAACCATATCCCAAATCATCAATAAAACAAAAAGACAATCTACTGAATGGGAGAAGATATTTGCAAATGATACATGATAAAGAGTTACTATCCAAACTGTATAAGGAACTTTTGTAACTTAACATCAAAAAAAGTTTTTAAAATGGGCAGAAGACCTGAATAGACATTTCTCTAAAGAGGACATACAGATGGCCAACAGACGTATGAAAAGATGTTGAACATCACTAATCATCAGGAAAATGCAAATCAATTGTAAATTGGTGCAGCCAATATGGAAAACAGTGTGGGGATTCATCAAAAACTAAAAATAGAACTGCTGTAGAAGCCAGCAATTCCACTTCTGGGTATTTATTTAAAGAAAAAAATACTAATTTAAAAAGACATATGGGTCCTTATGTTCATTGCAGTATTATTCAGAATAGCCAAGATATGAAAGCAACATAGGTGTCTAATGATAGATGAATGGATAAAGAAGATGTGGTACATATATACAATGAAATATTATCTAGCCATAAAAAACAGAATAAAATCCTGCTATTTGCAACAACATGGATGGACCAAGAGGGTATTATGCTAAGTGAAATAAGTCAGACAGAAAAAGATAAATACCGTATAATTTCACTCATATGTGGAATCCAAACAACAACGAATAAACAAAACCAAACAGAAACAGATCCACAAATGCACAGAACAAGTTGACAGTTGTTAAAGGGAAAGAGGGTGATGGGTGAAATAAAAACAAGAAAAAAAATTTTTTAAATAGAGTGGAATAAGGAATAAAAAATAATGGTAAAAATTTTTAATTGTTATCTAATTCCTGAACACCTACTTCTTGATTTACACAATGAAATTCTTTTTAATTTTTATTGTATTTTTTCCATTACCATTTAACCTCCTTATATCCTTCTCACACAATGAAATTCTTAGATTATCTCTGCGACCTATCTCAAAAAGTCTATTATTTTCTTGCACCATTTTTGGGGAAAAATTTTAAGTCTAATAGTACAGAAAGGGAGCAAGAATTGCACAGTGAACACTCTGGGTTAACCAACTGTTAATAGTCTGTCACATTTGCTTTCTCTCTCTGTGTTCACATGTCTATGGTATATGTTGATGTATGTGGACACATATATCTGTGTCTGTGCATATGAATGTGCCTATGTGTGTTATGTGCATGTATATATCTCTGTGTGTTTATATGGGCCTTAGGTGTACATATGAGTATATGTAAATGTATTTATATTTTGGCTTAAACTATTAGAAAGTTAGTTGCAGATATTGATATACTTCATCCCTAAACACTTGAGCATGAATCTACTAAGACCACGGTTATGATACTATAATCATTACACTTCAGAAATTTAAAATTTCAAAGTATGCTATTCTCTAATATACAATTGTTTTTCAAATTTCCTTAAGTGTACCGAAGCATCCTTTATAACTAATATTTTATCCAGGGCCCAATCAAGGATCACACATTATATTTAACTCTCATATTTCTTTAATCTCCTTTTCTCTAGAATGGTTTCCCAGACATGGTCTTTTGGGTTCTGTTCATTTGTTTGTTTGTTTTGGCCTTTACAACATTGAGGTTTTTGTAGAGTCCAGTTGTTTTACAGATTTTCCCTTCATTCTAATTTGCCTGATTATTTCTCCTAATTATATCTGGTTAAAGTCTCACATTTGAAGTACCTAGCATGACCAAAATTAAGTAGATGTAAAATAACTCAAATTTCCAAACGAAATTTTTAGGGAGAAATAGCAAACCAATGAAGAATGAAACACTCTGACAGAGGTATCAGGCGTCACCTGATCAGACCTTGCCTGAATTTGTTCAAATCCTCCTAACACAATTAAGTTAGTGCTTCCCACACATTAGACACTCACATACTCCCTTCAAGAATTCTGCTGCATTGGAGTTCTACTTGTATTAGCATTTATGCAATCCTTCAATTCAATTGACTTATTTAAACTATTTCTTATCCTAAGAAGTAATACTGGTATGAGTGGTTTTGCTATGCTTACTCAATTTTTATAATGCCTATCAAAGTATACATAAATGCCAAAAAATATTCGTGCGCATCTATGAGGGGAGGACTCAAAATAACACAGCATTGTCTTCTGGAGGGCAGGCCCCTTATAGTACAGGCTTCAACTGTTAGGTAAGTGTCCTAGGAACCCATCTGTATCAGTGTACCAGCTGACATTGTTGTGAGAGATTATGTTCAGCTTCAGTGAATTTTTCTGAAGACTCTTTCCATGCATTTGCCCATTTCATGATGGGTGACTATAGATAGAAGCACTGTCAAGACGCAGTTTTGTCATGGGCAGCTTGGCTGCCAGCCGCACTTCTTGTTAAGACCCCCCCCCTGCCCGCACTGGGTTGAGTGTTCAGCAGTTTTTGACCAAAATCAGCATGACCCCCATGCCTCAATCCCCCACTCTCCCAATCTCTCCCTGAGCAAATATTTTTGTTTCCCTGGGTGAAAAAAGTCCTCAAAGGAAAACATTTTGCTGATGTGGAAAAGGTGGCCAAGAAACAGCAGAAGCACTAAAAGGCATCAAAATCGGGAAGTTCAAAACCTGTTTTCAGCAGTGGCGGAAACATCTTGATAGGTATATTGCATCAAGTGGAGAGTATTTTGAAGGTGACTGAAGTTTAAACATGTACGAATAAATACACAATTTTTATTAATAAATTCCGAGGTTTTTGGGGTCCCCCATCATACAACTA